ATTTCCCTCTGAGTGTGTTTGTTGTCTGTGTAGAGGAATGCTATTGACTTTTGGGTATTGACTTTATAACCTGCTATGCTACTGAATTTCTGTATTAATTCTAGTAGCTTCTTGGTGGATTATTTTGGGTCTTCCAAGTAAAGTATCATGTCATCTGCAAATAAAGATTATTTAACTTCTTCTTTGCCTGTTCTTATTCCTTTTATTTCTTTCTCTTGTCTAATGGCTGTAGCTAATGATTCCTGAACTGTACTGAATAGGAGTGGTGATAGAGGACATCCTTGTCTTGTACCAGATCTAAGAGTAAAAGATTTTGCTTTTTCCCCATTTAGGATTATGTTAGCTGTTGGGTTTTCATAAATGGCTTTTACCAGATTGAAGTAGAGGTCATGTATTCCAATTTTCTGTAGGACTTTGAACGTGAATGAGTGTTGGACTTTGTCAAAAGCCTTTTCTGCATCAATGGAGGTGATCATGTGGTTTTTATTTTTCGCTCTATTGATATAGTATATTACATAGATAGATTTTCGAATATTGAACCATCCTTGCATCCCTGGGATGAATCCTACCTGGTCTTGGTGTATGATCTTTTTGATGATTTGCTGTATTCTATTTACTAGGATTTTGTTGAGGATTTTGGTATCTATGTTCATGAGGGAGATCGGCTTGTATTTCTCTTAGTTGTGTCTTTCCCTTGTTTTGGTATCAGTATAATACTTGCTTCCATGAATGATTGTGGGAGGATTGCTTCCTTTTCAATTTCGTGGAAGAGTTTCTAATGTCCTTTTTAAGGTCTTTTATTTAGAGCTGACATACTTATATATGAATTCGGTTCTTTTTTTCTATTTAATAAAGATCTTTTATTGTCTCATTAAAATATCATGGATTGGACTTAAAGTTCAACATATCAATACTTGATGAAAAATACCTGTTCCTTGTTATGCCTAAGATGTTTGATTTGCAGAGAGATAGTGAGGTTAAGCTTAGTAACCTAAGTTGTTTGATAATAACAATAAGCTTGTCTTCTGGATGGTTAACAACCTAAGTTTGCAGACCAAAATTAGAGAAAAAGGAGGGCTGCAAGGAAAGCCAACATTTTGACCCTAACCTTCTAAGGTCATTTAAGACTCAGGACATATGAGAACTTGTATTGTAATGTCATGTAACTCTGTAGTGTCCCAAAGTTTCTGATCAAGGAGATTATGGGTCAAAGAGGAAAGTGATTGATGATGTAGAGTGTGCCTACGGAGAGTCACATGGAGAGAAAACACTCTCTCAGGCTTTCACAGAGAGCACATTGGCCAAGCAATGGCCGTGACTCATCCACATGGCTGACTCTGACAAACGTTCTACAATCTGAGGTACAGGATCTCAGGATAAATCCTGAGGGGATTTCACTGAC